TAAGGAGTAGAATCAAACTGTTACTAATATTCCACTTTCTCCGGTTTGTTCGTCATTGCCTACTCCACCACCTATCAAGGACTATTCTAACAAGAAGGATATACCTGACCATAAACAAGCATTGATGCAGAGTGATAATGTTGATTTTGTCGAATTTGTAGGATCGGAATATAAGAAAAAAATCAAAGGCGAAACAATACAAAGTACTAAGGAAATAGAACTGGAGCTCAAGATTTTATCCCTTGCTTCTTTATTATCATCTGATTCATCACCATATCCTTTCTATAATAATAATAATAATAATAATAATTGTCATTAATTAATTTATTAATCAATGTACATATAGATTATAGATTATTACCTCAACAGCTTCTTTGTAATCAGAAAACAGCTTGTTTTGCTTCACCTTTAATTTTATATTTGCCATCAATTTCTGCTTCAAAATCACAAATTGCTGCAGCTTCATAAATTGGAAATTTATACAACGCTTCAATGTTTTTATCTTCTACATTTTTATATGTTTGATAGATTACAACTAAACAATAAAAAGGTAAAAAAAAAAATAATTAATAAGAAATGATGATAAATGACAATAGTATTTGCTTGTTTATTAGTTTCGTTACCTTCAGCAATCATATCAACAACTATTAAAATCAAAAACAGGAATATTATTAGCAAAATTATAATAATTGATTAATTATATTAATTTATGAATACAAACCATTTGCTTCAACTTTAACATTTTGTAAAGGAATTGGTTTTTCTTGAGAATCGGGAGAAACACAAATAAGACCATAACATTGCATTTTGTTTATTATAATTTTGAATTTTGGGATAATTGATATTTAATATGATTTAAAAAATATACTCCCACGAAAAATTTATTTGACATACGTTATTGATTTGCTTTATTGGGAATTGTGCGTATTTTAAATTCACATGCAAATTAACCAAATTTTGATTATAAAACAAATACTGATTATTATTAAGAGATAAATTAGTCTTTTCAAGAATATTTTTATTAAAAAAGGTAAGTTTTTTTAATTATATTCAGGCACTAATAATAATAGTAATTGTTCAACCTTTTTCAATAATAATAATGATTCACGACGAAACTCTTCTTCACAAGTTGAAATTAAAACTTTTAGTGATCAAGATAAACTTCAGTGTTTTGAAAGTCGAGATTGGTAGATGTACAACATGTTCATTACCACTTATCTGAAGCTGATTATAATCGTGCAGCAGCAGTTTTATAAAGAAGGATGGCAAATATAAAATTAAAGGTATTGTGAAAGAAGCAAAACAAGCTGCCTCTGATTACAAAGAAGCTGTTGAGGTAATAATCTATAATCTATATGTACATTAGTTAATAAACTAATTAATGACAATTATTATTATCATTAATATTGTTATAGAAAGGGCATAGTGCTTATTTACTTGAAGAACAACTTTCAGATGTATTTCAATGTTCAATTGGGAATCTAAAAAGTAATCAGACAGTAGTCATCAAAATCACCTATGTCACTGAGCTTAAACATGACTCAGAGAATGAAAAAATACGATTTGTTTTACCAACTTGTATTGCAGAAAGATATGGATCTTCTTCTTCAACAGCTAATGATGGTAAAAAACTTGCACCTGATGATGTAAAATATTCTGGGAAAGCAAATTATGAACTAGATTTAAAAGTTAATTGTAAAATGACCTCAACCATCCAATCAATTGAGTCTCCTTCTCATTTGATCTCTACTGAGTTGAATGTTGATGGCAATTCTAAAATTTCTAATGTTATTTTGGCTGAGCATATTACTTATTTAGATAAGGATTTTGTTCTAGTTGTCAAGAGTGAAAATCTTGATAAACCAAGGTAATTTTAATTAATTAATTATGTTCATATATACATTGTTATTATTATTATACAGTTTTAAGAAATATATTTCTATTTATCTATTAGGGCATTCCTTGAATATAATCCTAAAACAGAATCTAATTGTTTAATGTTGACATTAGTTCCAAAATTTTCTTTAAGCCCAATTCAAACTGAAATAGTTTTTATAGTTGACAGGTAATTTAATCATTCATTTATTCGTTTGATTGTTTTCTTCATGTCAAAATAATCATTACTAAAGAAATTTCATTAATAATATTAATAAATAGATCAGGATCAATGCAAGGTGAACCGATTAAAAAAGCAGGCCAAGCATTAGAACTATTTCTACGTTCACTACCAGAAGATTGTTACTTTAATGTGGTATCATTTGGTAGTAGCCATGACTCACTATTTCCAAAATCTCAAGAATACTCTCAAGAAACATTGAATAAAGCCATCAACTTGGCAAAAAACTTAGATGCTAATTATGGTGGGACAGAAATTTACAACCCTATAAAATGGGTATTTGATAATCAATTGAAAACTATGACCACCACTTTATTTTTATTGACAGATGGTGAAGTTTGGGGAGTTGATAAAATCATTGAATTGATTGATCAAAATGTTGAAGATAAAAACAATGATTTAAGAATTTTTACATTGGGTATTGGTGATAGTGTTTCACATAATTTAGTGGAATCAGTTGCTAGAGCTGGTAATGGATATGCAGAATTTGTTACTAATAAAGAAAGAATGGATAAGAAAATTTTGGGAATGTTGAAAAATGCTGTAAAACCACCTATCAATGATTATAAAATTAAATGGACAACAAGTTATGACAAACAAGATGAAGATGAAGATAAATTCTTTAATTATTTGTTTCAAGTAGAGGGAGCCGAAGAAGAAAAAAAGAGAGAGAAGGAAAAGAAAGAAGAGGAAAAGAAAGATAAACCTGTAATTAGTTTTTTTAGTAATGAACCACAACCAACATCCACAACAACAAAAAAAGCAGAAAAACCTAAAAAAGATGTTGAAAAATTATTGGAATGCATTAAATTACAACAAGCACCTTATAAAATACCAGAAATTTACCCAGGTGTTAGGTTCATAGTTTATTGTATTTTATCAAAAGATGTTCAACCATCTAATGAAATTATCTTGACAGCTAAATCCTCAGATGGACCAATGAAACTGAATATACCAATAGATCATGTAACCTTGACTGGATCAAAAATCCATACACTGGCTGCCAGGAAACTTATACAAGATTTGGAAGAAAACAGATCATTTATTCATAAACATCTTAAATCTAAAGATAAAACTATTCCTGATTATATATTTAAAGATTATATTATTAACTTGGGAATAAAATATAATCTAATGTCAAAATATACAAGGTAAGCAACAAATAATAATATCAAGCAATAATAATTTTTCTTGTAAATTAATAATAATATTATTAATGATAATCTTTTATTATTATTATTATTATTATTAGTTTTGTTGCAATTGATGAACAATCAAAAGAATCAATATCTCAAAAACAACCAGAAGTTAGACATGTTCCAAATAAACAATTATCAAAAATGTTTAAAATTGGTTCAATATCTACCTGTTCCTCAACAATTGGTAGTGCCTTTGGTGGTGCCTTTTCTGTTACTGGTATTTATTTATTTGCTTACATATCAAAAATGATTTTAAAAGATATTGTCTATCTATATTGAGATTAATAATAATTAACATATTATTTATTATATTAAAAAAATGTTGTGTAGAAAGTAGACCAATGCTCATGATGAAGATGAGTAATAGTAATGATCTTTATTTTGATGATGATGATGGTGATGATCAAAATCAAAATCAAAGAGAAAAGGAGGAAGAAGTAAATGAACATAAAAAACCAAAAATTGAAATACTCTTAAAATTTTTGTCATTACAATCATTTGATGGTAAATTTCAACCTAAAAATGAATTTTTTGAATTTTTTGGAAAAAATTCATTGGATGAATTTAACTTTGAAAATAATTTTGAGAATAAAGATGATGAGCAGCAAAAAGAGAAATTATGTACTATTATTGGATTGATTTATTTAGAAGTAGTAATGATGAAGGATTTTAAAGATGAATGTGATATTTGTTATGAAAAATCTAAAACAGCATTAACAACTAAATTTAAAGATTATAATGAAGAGAATGTTAAGAATGTTATGGATAGTGTTAGGAAGTGGATGAATGATTGGATTAAAGAATAAAAATCGTGTATATAATATTAAAGTGTATAAATATCACAATAAATTTTGATTTTCCCTCTAAAAGTTTGGTTTTTGATGCTAACATATGACCCTAAAATTTTAAATTCATTAACTACGCAAAAATATACATAATAACTTCATAAAAAATTATAATAACTTGTAACTTGGTTTTGGAAAAGGATCTGGTACGTTTTCCCGACAACCGTTTCCCCGACAGGACGTTTCCCCGACAAATGCATTTCCCCGACAGGACATTTATCCGACAAGGTTTTGTTAACTATATTTAATATTAATTGGCTAATAAATGGCCTAACCGACTTAAACAGCTTAGTCGCCTAATGAAAGGGTTAATAGACTTAAATGGTTTGATAAACTTAGCCGGCTATTTCATGACAGGGAAACAAATAAATATTGTAATACAAAATGTAATTGTCGGGGAAACATCTTGTCGGGGAAACGTCCTGTCGGGGAAACGTCTAGGTACCTTTGGAAAATGTATTGCGAAATAGAGATGTTGGAAGGTGTTGTGTCATATTACTGCTTCTGGGACAAAACTCGGATTTTCTGAGACAATTTATCCAGTTTATAGCTACAAGGTCTTCCAGAAGCTTATTTCAGGACGTTTCCCCGACAAATGCATTTCCCCGACAGGACATTTATCCGACAAGGTTTTGTTAACTATATTTAATATTAATTGGCTAATAAATGGCCTAACCGACTTAAACAGCTTAGTCGCCTAATGAAAGGGTTAATAGACTTAAATGGTTTGATAAACTTAGCCGGCTATTTCATGACAGGGAAACAAATAAATATTGTAATACAAAATGTAATTGTCGGGGAAACATCTTGTCGGGGAAACGTCCTGTCGGGGAAACGTCTAGGTACCTTTGGAAAATGTATTGCGAAATAGAGATGTTGGAAGGTGTTGTGTCATATTACTGCTTCTGGGACAAAACTCGGATTTTCTGAGACAATTTATCCAGTTTATAGCTACAAGGTCTTCCAGAAGCTTATTTCATGGATTTTGATAACATTTTTCTGGATATCCACAAGGACTTGTATGCAACGATTTTAACTGTTTTTATACTAAGCTTTCCAATGAAAAAAGGGCTTGCGAAGGAATAGATATGAACTGAGCTAGCCTGGTCTATAAAGCCAATTAGTATACACAGTGAATCTCGATTTAGCGGATAAGTTTGGCCCGAGAAATTTATCCGCTAAATCGAAATATCCGTAAAAACGAGAAATTTGGAATTAGCGAATTTTATGTGAAATCAGTTAAATTTAAAAAAATAATGTAATAATATAATAATTAAACATATATATAAACTACAAAAAAAAATTTTTTTTATTTATTCTAACATATATATAGTATTCTTCAATCCTTGTTTGTATTCTTTTGTAAGAAGTTTCCTTCTTTAATTTATTGACATTTCTAATTACTTGGAATCAATTTCCAAATTTTTTTGTTGTACATATTTGAGTGCAGTTTCCAAACTTTTTATAGCTTCTGTGCTTATTTTTTTTTTTTTTTAAATTGATAAAAAATTTTTTTTTTGATTATAGACAAGGGTGGATATTTTTTATTTTCACGAATCATTATTATTATACAAGCCATAAATTTTAAATTTTACAAATCATAAGTTTTATTTTACATTTGAAGTTTTCAAAACAGTAATGATCATCATCATTATCCGTTATATCGAAATAAATTGTTCGTCGCCCGCAATATGGTAATTAATTTCGTAATTATGTTTTTAAAGAGGAAAACGATAATTAACTGCAATAATTACGTACTTACGGTAATGATGCAATTATCATCCCATGTATAGTATTAATAACGGCTTGCATAGAAAATTTTCATAATTGTAATTAATTTCGTCACCCGTAATTAATTACGTAATTAGGTTTTTAAAGAGTGAAAGTGGTAATTAATTACTTTAATTACGAATTACGTATTTACGGTAATTAGCCAATTACCATATCATGTATAGTTTAAACGCATTCAAACTCTTATAGTTTCAGGTTCTAAACTACAACAACGCCTTTGAGTTAATTCTAAAAGCAGTGTGCAAAAATTAGAATACCAGTGACTGCCAAGTAGTCTTTAGCTTAAAGATCTGAACGGTTTAGTTCAAACTAAAAATTTTTGATTCAGTTTTGGTTCAGTTCAAAGAGTAAACTGAACTGAACCGAAATTTTTCTATTTGACTTTTTAGAAACTGAAACCAAACTGAACTGTTCGGAGTTTTAATCAGGAGTAATCATAGATAATAAATTGTTAAAAGATTATTTATTAATTAATATAAAAATCAAGAAACTCGGAAATTATATATTGCTAGACAAATTAGGACACAATATGTGAAATAAATAAAATAAATGTTAAATTGATTAATAAATGAAAATAAAAAAATATAATTAATGAATGTAATAAAAATCAATTATTTTCCTTTATTATTATTACAAGTAAAAAACAAATAATCTTATTAGTAATTAGTTAATCACAATTAATAAATTTCAATTAATAAAAATTTAACTAACCTTATTAACATCAATATTTAAGAGAAATCAAGATTATTTGATAAATTGTTGTTACTTGAATAAATTTTTAAGTTTTTAAATTTAGCAATTTCATCATCTAACATTCTACTTGTGTAATATGCATTTGGATGTGATTTATGTGGTTGTTGTGAATTATCACTACCACTACCACCACCACTAATATTACTGTTATTATCATCATTATTATTAAGAATTTCATTATGTTTATTTTCAGCAAATGGCCAAAGCTCACCAATGGTTGGTCTTTTTGATGGATCCGCATCCCAACACTTCTGCATCATTTGCACATAATCATCAGGCATTTCAGGTAATATTGGTGGTCGTAAGCCTTCACATATATCAAAAATTAAATGATGATCATGAGCTCTATCATCAAATGGTGGATAACCTGCAAATATTTCCCACATTAACATCCCAATACTGTAAAT